ATATTGTTTTCTCGTGCATCGCACGGGCTACACACTAGTCAAAGTAAAAGTTCATACAAATTATTAAACAACTCTATCATTGATAAAAGAAAAAATAAGTTCTCTTACTCTGTTAGTGAATAAAAATAAACTAAAAAATAAAATCACAAAGTAGCTAGAAATTACATATTGTAGGAAATGCTACGGTCCCGTTAGGAAATGATTCTGTCAGGTTTGTAACCGTTAGATCAACTATCTGCAACGATTACAAATCCCGAAGAAATAGTTCATAACGAGACGGTAACATTTCCCTATATTGTTACCAAAAAGTTCTAGAACGCCAATTTTCCTTGCAAAAGCTCAAATTTATGTTGTCTGATATAAAACTGACGGGCGAAAAGTTGAAGAGAAAGTAAACTCGTGCATAGCCTCGTGCGACTTTAATCTAAAAAAAAAAAAAAAGTAAATAAGTTAATGTCAAGTAGATTACGTTTTCATTTTGAATTTCTTGGATGACAAGAAAATGCACAATAAAGGAAAGCCAAATATTATATTATAATATATTATTATTATTATATAGGCAATTGCCAGTTGGCATACCAAAAATGACGCAATGGCTTACATCACGACCCACTTATAACAGTCCACTCCATTAAAAAGTGTTTGATTTGAGATATTATTATAACAACATATATTTTTATTATAAATAATAATAATAATAATAATAATAATAATAATAATAATAGATATATGTAAAGGAATTCATAAACAACCTGAACTGAAATGCCACCAAGTTTTAAATACATTATATCTTGAGTCCTTCTCAAATGACATGGCATGTATGATGATTAATGTAATCATCATTCGAGATGATTCATACCAGGAGCGTAGCCAGGAATTTTTTTAACCTGGGGCTGCATATTCTTGTAGCTATTATTGGAACCTTGTAGACATGGTCATGGACCGACCCAGCATGTCGGTTCGGCCAAAACCGACACAAGCAGACCCGTTGACCATGGTCTTGAACAAACCCATAGTTTTGACCAGTTCGGCTCATGTACGATATTTTATAGTTTATACATTTTGAACATGCTGTTTTGGTTCCGAACTGGAACCGGAACCCGAGGTTCGTTTTTTTTTAAATATTATTCTAATTATTTTGTATTTTTTAATGAACCGGACGACCAGTAATCGACAATTCAATGAACCGACCCGTACATATGTTCGCGTCGGTTCATATATGTTCGTGTCGGTTCATGCTCCTCCAACTCTCGGCCCGGTATCGACGGTTTCAGCCTGTAACTGGTTTTGGTTATGATTATAAACAAATTATCTGCTAACATATGTCGGTTTGAATTGGAAAAACTCAATCTCGAATCGCTTATATATTTAAACAAGCCAAACTCAAATAGCTAATCGTACTTGTCGATCAAATAAATAAAATCGAACATGTTTGCAATCAACTATGTACGAGCTTTCTCTTTGTCTAGGAAATGATGTCGAATTAATTATTGGAGGCGAAAGAAAAAAAAATGAAATTGGATAACGGACTGTGGAATGAGATGAATCAAATTAAATAGCCCGCTGGAAAAGTTTGTGTCAAACTTAATTATCCAGCTCATTTGATATTTGTCAAGTCAACCCATTAAAAATTTAAAGACAAGAGTATGTTGGGCCACATTATAAACTCAATTGATAAAAATCTAATAAGGTCACAATTGTCATTTGAGAATAAAAGATTATCTTTTTTCCTCACTGTAATCATCATTTTTCCACCATTGTTGTCAGATAACAAATTTTAACATGAAGATAATCTTGAGTCATTCAGCCAAAAAATTAAATGGGGCTATATAAAAAATTACATGGGGCTATATAAAAAATTACATGGGGCTAATGAGTCTATGTATAAATTTCTTAAAAAAATAAAATTAGTAAAAATAAGGGTAGCAAAAAATTACATGGGGCTGGAGCCCACCCTAGCCTTAGAGTGGCTCCGCCCCTGATTTATACAATATCGGTTTTACTATAAAGCCAACAGTTGGTTTTATAATGGAGTCAAATTTCTATATACAGCAAATAAACCATACTATATTAATAAAATAATAATAATATTATTTAAGTAATAAAAAAAAATGATAGACCCATATAAATACAATCTTATATATAATTGTCCTTTTGCCCCTGTTTTATTAATCTTTAATTCTCTTGTGACCACTGCGGCTGTTTGGAAGTATGAAATGGGTTTGGCTTCGAGAATCTCCTACTATTTTAAAAGGGCCAATTTAATAATATATATATAAATAAATAAAATATTTTAGGTGAGGTAAGAAAAGACGTGATGCGATTGTGGGACCTGTCCACGTCAGTCACACTACATGATGATATATAATTTTATTAAGATTTTTGAGGTATAAATTTACAGAAGATGTTTCGGTCCCGTTACATAATCATTTCGTAATGGACATCAGCATTTCTCTAAATTTACATGTGAATTATTTATTTTTATACATATTTCTAAGATAAAAAAAAACATATATACGAATTTACTTTTTTACCCATAACCTAAATGACCACGGCTTTTACCTCAGCGAGTTTGAAAACATTACTACAAAGTTGAAAATGTGAAAATTGAACCATTGAAAAGGAACGGTTTTGCTATGAAACCGACAGTTGGCTCCATAGTGGAGTCAACCTTATACATACAACAAATAAATCTACTATATATGGAACCAACTGTTGGTTTCATATCAAAACCGTAAAAATGAAATATATCTCAAAATGTTCAAAAGTCAAGATAATAAATTCTCATGTCTCCTAAAAGACTGCTAGGAAGCTTCATATGTCATTGTGAAACAATTTGAAGTTGAATACGCCCTCCATTTTCGACATTTTATTTTATTTTTATTTTATAATTCATAAAGTTCAAAAGTTTGAAGCTTCAACCTATATAATTAACACGAGATCTCTTGGTAATTAATGAAAATATTTATATATTTAGGACCTTTTATTTGACTTTTTCTTGATTTTTTTTGGATAGGAACAAGGATTTCAGGTCTAATTCTTGTGTGTCAGCCTTCAAGGATTGGGCCACCTGAAAACTCCTTGCATTATATTGAAAGTCAAAGTAAAAAATTAATCATATTCATTTGCATAGATATTATACTTTATATTGTTGGTCTTTTGTGACTTATTTCTCAATTAGCTTTTAACAAATAGTAATGTTGACTGTAGGATCCGATCAATGTTTGAATAAAAAATAGATTATGATGAGAATTAAGGATTAAGGAAGATATACGTAAGAAATAGGTTTATTTTATATTAATCACGAGTTATCTCAAATATCGAGGTCGACTCTTTTGTTATACTTTGAAATATTCATTGGAAATTGGTACAGAACTGAGAGGAGTAATGTAGATAGAGAAATAGTTGGTAGGATATTCAAGAACTAGATAAAACAGGTTGCCTATTTATAGAAACTCTAATCTAGTACTGTTCGGACACTGTTCACCATGTCACTTCGCACAGTAACTCTGAGACGATAGGTTGACGCCGTTCTGATAGACATTAAATGCAATTTGAGGTTATTCCAATATTACATGTCAATATTAAATGTATGCATCTTCTAGCCCCCGTGGTGCGATTTCTAGTTCGACATTCCAGTAGATCAACGTCACTCTTATCCTCTTTATTTTCCGGTCAGCTCTGCCCCTCGGTGGGACCCGAGAACCGATCACGATCCTTAGGTCGTCTTCGCCTGGGTCCTTGTCTATGAACCGTGAATTCTGTGCTGGTTCAACTCGGATATTAACAAGCAACTAGCTGATTGTAAATAACTATTTCGTATAGTGGATTGCATAATCATATTAAAATTTTACGTAAACATGATATTTCACAAATCCTCTCTTCTCCAAGAACTCCTATACTGAGCTTATTCAGAATCAACATTTAAGGCTAAAAAATCCAATCAAGTAAGTTTTGTGCCGAATAAGTTAAAGAATCTGTTTGATAAGCATCGTCAGTTAGCTTTTTTTTTTTTTTTTTTTAAATAAAGTTTATCTTATGTAACTTTTCAAATAAATTTGTTAAAATTTTAATTTCAGTAGACTTATCAGCTAATTTTACTGAACACAATTATTATATCAACCAACTTTTCTGTTGCTATCAATTATAATTAAAATTTGAATTCACTTATAAACTATCAGCTAATTTTACTAAACATAGCCCAAATAGTGTAACGAGCCCATCACGGACTGTCTCACACACTAATTTATTAATATATACAATGTTGTAGATGGTTTGGTGTTAAAAGAATTTTGAATGGATAAAGTTCAACTGAAAATAAGTGATCAACCTCTCTTCAATGCCAATGGTGTTTATGTATTTTTGTGATTATAGGTCTAATGTGAATGGAAAGTATGAGTTTTTTTTCAATAATAAAATCACTTTTTTTTGTTTGTTATTAGTTTAACCCATTGGTTGCATAGGTGATTATTATGAGACACCAATAATATGATTATGAAAGTTGATTTAATTAGTTTAATCTCTTATAAATATTAATTGATGATATATAAAGGCAATTCGTCTACACTTTGTGTTTATTAATGGATGACTTGTGGTTATTTTTGATTTATAGTTCAATTTATGTTTAAAAAAATAAAAAAGAAAATTAAAAAAAAAAAGAAAAAAGAA